CGTGCATTGCCGAAAGCACCCTTTGAATTGAGAGGATTTAACAGCTTGTAACCCATTCAGAACGTTCTGCACCTTCACTGTGTACTTACTTGTATGTGGTCCAGCTGCTAGTGAATAAAATATTAAGAAACGCTGAAGGTGGGAGATTCTTAACATTTTTTAGTTACTTAAAACTCTCCTCCCATCGATTCATTTGCCAATCATTACACTTTGCAAGTGATTTCCACACTCCATGCTCATCGCCACCTTTAGATCTGCAGCTGTTAAGCTCATTGAGTTCGTAGTTAACGAACAGTGAAAACTCAGAAATTGAGGGCCAAATATAAACCTCATTTTGGTAAGGTCTCAGGGATACAAGCGAAGTAGGTAGTGCAATTCTAATTTAGGTCGGATTCTCTCATCTCAGATAGGATGAGTCGCTTTTAACCTTATAAGGAACACGTGCTGGTGTAGGCTGATGTTTTGGTGAGCTGTTGAGTCTGATTAAACTCATTCTCAAAGTATTACTAAAGTTGTAATGGGAGGTAAGAAACTCACTTCGCCGCAAGGGTACATCAATGATGCCATTATTAGAGAGTCTGAATCCATTCTGCCCAGGATGCTGGGGTGCGGATTTTCCACCCACCGAGTGGAAGACGGAGGAGGGAAGACCGACGCCGAAGGGAGCAGCTGTGCTAACTGGAGCGACCTGCTGTTGCTGCTGCTGTTGGCCAGCTTGTGATGGCTGCGGGTGAGTTGGTATGGAGACTGGTGCACCATTACCACCACCAGCAGCAAGACTAGTACTAGCAGTACTGTGACTCCAATTTTGCTGCGCAGCGGCTAGGGCCCCGATCTCGCTCACACTATCCACCTCCTCTAAGCTGAGGGCTGAAAAGCCTACAACAACAAGATGAACTTGTTTTTACTGAAATTTTAATAAGTAAAACATTTGATACTCGTGCAACTTACTTCCAGTGATATCACCGAAGACGTAATAGCATTGCTCAGAGAAGGTTGATTTGTTAACTGTGTGGCGGATGAGGCCAAACTTAAGGAGATTTGCGGCATATTTCCGGCAGTCACGTCGGTCTGAAAGACCTTCAACATTGCGGAACAACCAATCAACGAGATCAGAGCCTAGAAGAAACCAGAGACATCAGGGATTCATGCGTCGCACGTGCTTCTGAATGAAAATACCACTGAACTCACCAATAAAGGCGTTGGGAAGGGTAATTTTCAGCCATACACGGTCCCTAATATCGAGACCAGAGTCGGGGTGCATCATGGCTTGGATGACTGTCTTGACGTCAGTTGCCACGGTCAAGGGATCCGGAGGAAGACCAAATCTGTCGGTCTCGGGTAGGGAACTGGACAGAGTCACCACACTCTGTGCACTCTGGATAGCCGCAAAGGAAGAAACAAATGAGATCGCTGTGTACTTATGACTATTCGCCAGCATTCATTTAGAAATCGGGGTATTAATGATTGTAAACAAGCTCAAAGGTGGTTGATGGAGTATAATGGACGCGTTCTAAAGCGATAATTTTGTGGCATGTTGTAGCGAAACTTCAAAGGAAAAGAGTTAGCAGCTTATTGAACAGGAGCCGTGCAAAAAGCCTCTTCAGCTTGCATGAAGTATTTGCCCATTTTATCCATTCTACACGAAACAGGTAATCCTTAAGTGAAAACTCTTCTACTACTATCAAAAAGAGACGGTGGCGATCAAATTACACATAAAAGTTACTTTATTTTGTCTTAAAAACACTATTCAAAACAAAGCTTTTGAGAGAAGAAAATAGTTGACGATTGACAGATTAGAATCAAGTGCACTTCCCGTTTTGAATTGGCCCTTTAGAATGGTGGATAAAAATAATAAAAACATTGCCAAGCAGCGCACCTGATTAGTGAACCCGGGGAGCATACAAGAGGTGGCCTGTGGTGGCGATCGAAAGCCAGGAATAAGGGTCTGTTGTTGCTGAGGTTGTTGTTGATGCTTGAATCGCTGCTGTTGTTGTGCCAGCATAGCTGCTATATTGAAGCCCTGTGAAGCGGAGCCAGCAGCAGTGGCGGCTGCGCGCCGATTGCCGATGGTAGAAACGGAATCTTCACCCGAGGACGTCGATGAACCTGAACCTGCGTTCCCGTTAGGGCCGCGTGTAGGGTCCCCTGGACCGCCTCCACCACCTCCGCCTCCAATGGTTCCCGTTGCTCCAGCGGTCATAGCATTGGTATGCAGCACCCAGGCGCGTGGATCGATAGGGCGTACTGGTTCTTGCCGCGGGATGGTGAAGTAGCCACCTCGTGGATTTGCATCCCAGCACTTTGCCACCACCAACGTTATCGGTCTATGTTAGACACACACACACATACATGCATACTCAACGATCATCCCTTGGCTTCCGATCCGCCGAAAGAGTTTTATAATTGAGTCAGTACGCAACTAGTGAAGTACTGCGCGCCGTACAGCTAGTACCATATAACCATAAATTTCACTCAAATCAAACCATAAGGGTGGGTTGCAGTGAGTAGATTGGAAGATTGCGAAAATATGCCTCAGTGCTCCATGTTTCCATTCGCATTGAAATCTTTGTTTTGTGCAGAAACAATCTTGTGCTCAATGTTCTCAAAGGTTCGTCCAAAAAAGTGCTTAAGTTCTGCTTATGCTGTAGACTTAAAGTCACAAGAGCACTGCGAAAATCCAACACGGTAAAAGTGGAAGACAGGAAGCATGCTGAAGATTAATTGCACTTCAGCGCTGAGGTTAACAATTTGGGGTGGTTTCTAGTGAAATAACTAGCCACAGTTGTCAAAAAAATTGAACCTCTAAAGCCTGGAAACAATATATAGCGTATCAGTAGATCAGTAAAAGGTTTGAACGACTCGTGACAAAGCAAAGAAAATCAAATAAAAGGAATGCTGGCCAAATTGACCAACAAGCTTGCAGTTGAATCGCAAGGTGGGGCAATTAAGTATTTAAGTAACGGAAGCGATTTCCACTTCAAAACTAATGAATTAAACTTCAAACAATAAGTACAATCCGCTTAGTTCGATACTGTGTGACCTTTTCCACCGCCCCGGTTAGAGGTCCCACTTCATTGTCGCTAGGAGGAATTCGCCACAAGTTCTGGAACGTGTTACAAGCAGCAAAAAAAAAATAAATTGGTGGGAGTGATTAACAATGAGATCTGGTTGTGGCGATTGAATAAACATACAATTCTTTTTCGTAATGAATAATTTCCACTTTGGGACAATACGCTGGTGATTTGTGACTGGAAATACAAAGGTAATCATCGTAACTGTGATTGAGTCAGAAAGCCTGGTCTGTCTAACGTAAATCTGGTTTGTTAAACCTAGTTGTATATTGAAATAACTCAAAAAAAAATCCTCGCACCTGCAACACATGAATTTTAAGCTAGGTTAATGACTGAAATATTGCATTGCTCTGGAATATGCGTTCTGGAAGGCGAGTCGACAGTTAAGAAGGACAGCTAGCAGTGTTGAAGAGAATGGAATGACCCAACTCCACAAAGTATCGAATTCTTTCAAAATAAGAATGACTGAAGTTTTACATGTCCTTTTGATTACAAATCGTTAACTGCAAATTACCGCAGTACTTGAGAGCAGTGCTGAGTTCCGTGCAGATTTTGCCAAATACTGCAGATGCTGGTTTTCATAAACAACATCGCGATTTGGAGTAAGCAAGTCCTCAAACAGAGAAAAGGTTTTAACTGCAGTGTTGGTTAACCTTAGAGCACTACGAGATCAACTTTTCACTCGTAATGTGGATACACACTGCTTTCATAGAAATTGATTGTTTGCCACTGATGAGATTTGCAGAAAGGAGTCCCATCTGACGGTCGAAATGGGAGAACAGGTGGAAAATGTCAGTAGAGTAAATAGACGCCTTTCCTTAATAAAAACTGACAACATATTCGGCCCACAATAGTATGCGCTCCACCTATACACCAATAAAGCCTTCGAGATTGTAAGTATTAGTACTTGAGTACCCACTATTGTATATCCAAACGACTGTTAATTCGGAAGTGAAAAGTGCTTCCATTTCAAATAGTTGAATTCTACGACCCAGTTTCGGTAGTTGGAGGAAACAGCGATTAACCAATTGGTACATAGGAGAAGACCTGCAGTCTCTGATGATAGCTCTGTTAGGTCGATGACACCCACTTGGCTGGCATCACAGGCAAACTACCACGTAGGCGCGAAGAGAAAGTACCCTCGGTCAGTTTCACGAAAGTAAAATTGTGGAAAAAAGATGAGACAAATCGCTGAGGGTTCACACAACCAACAGCTAGCGAACAGAGGAGGGTGTGAATGGAGAAGGTGTAAACGGAGATGCGAGAAACACTACAATTAGGTAGAATGCCACTCAATTAATTACAGAAGTCTACAGTACTACCGTCAGCCTACGGCCATCTAAATGACAGCTATGAGAGTTAACCTAATCCAGCCAATCCTTCTCTAAACAATGTTGTTTCTTCCTCGCATAATATGACACATGAATCCTAGCTGGACATTCCAGTGACGCAGGTATATTGCGTGAACTGAGGTTTTGAAGTACATTTATGAAAAGATGAAATAGACGTAAACAGGGTAAAAAAGCTCTTCAATACTGAAATAACAATGGAAGCTTAAAAATCAGTCGAAGTAAAGCTGGATAGATGTATACTTGACTAGCTTGGTGGAAAATGAAGTTATGCCCAAAGCCTGCCTCTTGATTTACCATCAGCAATTTAAGTCCTCAGCACTAGCATGATTAATTGATGCGAGGAAAGCAATCAGACTGTCCATCGATGGTGGAATGTGGCCTGACAAGTGGCAGCTTTGGCCCAGAGAGTTGAAAATGTCAACCTAGTTGACACAAAACAGGCCATGGGAACAAAGCCTTGATTCCAAGAAAAGGGTCATTTTTTCACCGCAGCTACACAAAAATCCATCTTTTTACAGCATCTAAATTGCACATAAAAGCAACCCCTGAAGGTACTAAGAGATGAGTGTGCGTACGAATTCAGCTGACAATGCAAAATTACAATGTCGAAGTTGTACGGAGTAAATCAATTAAACCAGTGGGTTGAAGAGGATTAACGAGAATGAGAGCACCGCAAATATTCCGTCCAGCAAGTACAATCTGAAGTCGTCTCAATTTAAAAATCGTTCTTTTGAGTAGGAGAGTATTTAACTTGAGATACAGGAGGTTGCAGGCAAAATCACCACTAGGGCGTTTATTCAATCTGAGGTCCGCATAATATGAGGGTGGTTTCTGCATCGGCATCTTCACCCTAGCTTAGTTTGAGGGCTTGGCAATGACACGGTAGATTTAGTCTAATTTCAGATGATCCGAAATCGACGGTCAACCAGGAGCCATTTTCTTATCAAAAAGATAGAAAAGTGGTAATTTAAGTTAAAGGGTTTCGAATTTTAAACTAATGCATTTGGATACAGTTGCCAAGATAAATGGGGCTTTTACAGATGGGAGCATTACGAGTAACAGTTGCTTGCACTTAACACCACGACAATCGGCAAGCACACCCGAAGGAAAGCAGAGACATTCGCAATAACACAAAGTTGTACGCCAAAGCAGCAGTGAATCAAAGTGTTCATGACATTCTCCTGACCGGTGACTAGACTATAGAAAAAAACCTGTGGAAAATGACTCATGTTGACTAACTGATTTCCATACAGCAGAGGAGATAGAAATGAAATACAACCCTCATTGAACGGCGGCAACCAGTGTGAAAAAAATGAGGCCAAGGGAAAATCAGTTTAGCACAGCGGCCCATGATGCGTGATCATTGCCACATACAAGGGTTGATGAAGATGCTTCACAAAGTAACAATTTAACCACCAGGAGAGCTAAATACGAAGCGATAAATGCAAATATTGAGAAATGAGCGAAAAGCATAGGACGCATTCGACTGATAAAACTCACTATTAACGACAGAAGGACAAGGGTGAAACGGTGTGGCGGCCAAATGAAAAGAACATCAAATAAATGTGGAGATGGAG